TATCACTTGAGGTCCCCTTAGAAAAGTTGCAGGAAAGGCTTCTCTAGCTAGGTGATATTTAAAGTAAGATCAAAAACGATGAGAATGGGACAGCTTTGGCGACACGGGGAGAAGAGCAGGTGTGAAAGGTCAGAGGTTGGAAAGCACTTGTTTGTTCAAAGAGCAGAAGGAATACTTGTGCGGCCAGTGTGTGAGGAGGGAGGGAGGCAGTATGCGAGATGAAATAGGAGCCCAGTTATTCACGCAGCTGATGGCCTCTTAAGGAGTTTGGTTTTTATTCTAGATGTCTGGGGAACTCATTCTTTGCCTCTATTTAGAATGAAGATTTGGAGTGAAACAGGGAAGGAAACAGATTCTATAATAAGTAGCTAGACTTTTATTTCAGATACGAATTCAGAATGGGGAAGGCCTAACTATGTATGATACACACACACACACACACACACACACACACACACACACAAATTGCTTTGACCACAGAAAAATCTAAAATTTCAGCATGGTGGAAAAAGTCAAAGACTGAGTCATCTCATGGTGTGTTGCTTAAGGTGGCTGGATCCCACTTAGCTAATTATGCATTCGAGTCCTGGACACCGTGACTTGAGAAATGCAGCAGGTGTATTTATGTGCATACCCAAAATCCTGAAAGGAGGGAGAAATGAAATATAAGAGATTGTCATGTGATCATCCCCATGAGAAGTGTTTTCTCACTTTCTCTTTCTCTCTCCCTGGCAGATTAAAAATAAATAAATAAAAAAGATGGGGCCAGGAGGTGGCATGGAGGTTAAGGTGGTTGGATCCCACAAGGCCAACTATGCAATTAGAGTTGTGGACCTGGCAGCTTGAGAAACACACTGGGCACATGTACCTGTGTATTCAAAATCCCAAGAGGAGAAAGGAGGAAAAGGGATTGCAGCATGGCCATCCCCTCACCCTGGGGGGGAGGGCGATTTCTTATTTTTCTTCTCTCCCTCTCTCTCTCCCTGGTAAGTGCATGTGTCCTATAGCAAACTAAAAAAATTAGAAAACAAAAAAGATGAAAAAGTCAAAGGCAGGGACCAGTAGTTGGCATAATGGCTATGTTGTTGGACTCCCATGTAGTTGACTGCGGTTCAAGCCCTGGACCCGGTGGCTTAAACTCACGCTGGGCGTATATGCGTGCGTGCCCAAGATCCCGAGAGGAGAATGGAGGAGAAGGGATTGTGGTATGGCCAGCCCCCCTGGGGGATGATTTCTCGCTTTCTGTCTCTCTGTCTCTCTCTGTCTGTCTGGCGAGTACACACGCCCTATAGCAAAAAAGCTCTAAAAAAAAGTCAAAGGCATATGACAAACTAGAGAGAAATATTTGCAGGACCCTTTAATATTCACAACTTTCCTTAATAAAAAATTAAAAAGTAAATCACTAGACAAAGGATATGAACTGGCAGCTCAAAAAGAAAATACAAATGGCTATTAAATTTATGAAAAGATGTAAAGATGTATAACTTCACTCTTCTAAAAAGGAATGCAAATATCGAGAATCCATTTTTTAAATGTAAGATTGACAGTGATGGGTCCAGCAGATGGTGTAATGGTTACGTTGCTGGACTCTCATGTGGGTGACAATGGTTTGAGTATGGGACCTGGTGGCTTGAAAGTTATGCCAGTGACATGTGTGTGTGCTCAAAATCCCAGGAGAATGGAGGAGGAGGGTATAGTCATCCCTGCTAGGGCAATTTCTCACTTTCCCCCTCACTGTCTCTCTTCCCGGTGAGCGCACACACCCTAGGGCAAAAATCTCTTTTAATAAAAAGAAGATTGACAGTGATGTAGTTTAATAACATTTAGCATTGGTGAGGCTATAGGGGAACACGAAGTCTCAGTACTTTAGTGATAGGAATATAAATTGGTTCAACTTTCATAGAGAGTAATCTGGCAGCATCTACCAGAATTTAAAATGTACACACTTCTAGGAATTTATCCAACAGGCAGATAATATTTTGGTCCATCTATAAAAAGGAATATAATGTAACCCTTATAAAGAATGAAGCAGCTCATTATCTATTGATATGGAATGGTCATGACTTCAAATACTTTGTAGAAGAATGGAATAAAAGTATGAGCTTATTTCAGTGCAAAAAAATTTTGAAGTCTATGCATAGTTTTGGAAATGTGTATTATGAAAAGTCTATGTATAGATTTCAAAGATTTTTACACTAAAATAAACTCATACTTTAATTCCATTTTTCTATAAACTTTCTGTAGTCCCCTTGTGTATAGTTTATATATTTTAAATGAAGATATGTTTAATTCATGATAGTGTGTGTGTACATGAGCAAGCAAGAGAGAAAGGAACACTCTCCACCAGGTTTAGTCATTCTTCCAACCTCTTCCAGTCCTCCAACCTGTCAGGATCCTAGGCAAGTGTACAGGTACACAAAGTGTTTTCAGGCTGAGTGGCCTGGGGACTCGAACTGCAGTCAGCCTGTGGCTTCCAGCTCTGCAGTCCAACATGCTATCAGCCTCACCACAGAGCCTGGGCCCCATGATAAAGGGGGAGGGGCATATATATGTGTGTGTGTGTGTATGTGTGTGTGTGTGTGTGTGTGTGTATTTTTTTTAAGAATTATTTTATTTAACTTTATTTATTATTATATCATTATTATTTTTCAGTTTGATCAAAGAGAGACAGAGAGAGAGAGAGGTAGTGAGAAAGCAAGCCACCAGGTCTGAGACTTGAACCATGGTCGGCCACGTGGGAGTCCAGCGCCTTTAACTACCACACCACTTGCCGGCCCCAGTGTGTGTATATTTTTTAAAGAGAGATTTTTGCTATAGGGCAGATATGCTTGCTGGAGAGACAGATGTAAAGTGAGAAATCACCCCCCCCCACTCCCATCCCAGGGAGATGGCCACATTGCAATCCCTTCCCCTCCATTCTCCTCTCAGGATTTTGGGCACACACGCACACATACCTGATGTGAGTTTTAAGCTGCTGGGTCTGGGATTCAAACTGTGGTCAACTACATGGGAGTCCAGCAATGTAACCATTATGTCATCTGCTGGTTCCTGGAAAAATGTTTTTATTATGTACCAATTAGTTTCTTGTACAATGTTTGTATATGCATCAATGATCTCTGAGATAAATACAAGAAACCAGAAGCAGTATTTGCCTCTGGTGAAAGGAACTGGGTGGATGGAAGTTGAAAAAGGAGGATATTTACTTTTCATTTATACTCTTATGTATAGCACATGTGTATATAATGCCTATTAAAAATGTGAAACAATGGGAGGGGAAGTCAGGAAGATCTAGCAGTTATAGCAGTCCAGTGAATTGCTAATGATGGCATAGGCCACAGTGGTAGGAAGGTGGAGAAAAGCAGCCGGGTTCAAGATGTTTTTTTTGGAGATAAAACCCATAGTCATTTTTGGGGCCAAGTGGTGGTGCAGTGGTAATGCACCTGTGCTTGGGAAAAGTGTTGGGTTCATGCCCCTTGATCTCCCTGAGTGTGCAGGGAATGTGTGCCTATTGTCCAGGCAGGCTGAAGGCTGGGGTAGATCTCAGCATGAGGACCTTGTTGAGGGTTCCTGTCTGTCTGCCTCTCACGGGGAAAACAAAACTTGAAAAGGATCCATAGGATTTGCTAATGAAGGTAGGCATGGTAGATGAGAGAAAGAAAAGAATCCAGGATGAGTCCCAGATTTCTTTCTTTTTCTTTTTTAAATTTTTAAAATTTTATTCCTTCATTTATCTTACTTTGACCAGAGAGAGACACAGAGAGAGAGAGAGAAAGAGGGAAAGTGAGAAAGGAAGCCACCAGGTCCGGGACTCAAACCGTGGCCAGCCATGTGGGAGGGTCCAGCACCTTAACATCATGCCACCTGCTGGTCTCTCTTTTTTAAGAGATTTTTGCCTTAGGGTATGTGCACTTGCTGGAGAGAGACAGAGACGGTGAGAGGGAAAGTGAGAAATCACCCCCCAGGGAGGATGGCCATGCAGTAATCCCTTCTCCTCCATTTTCCTCCTGGGATCCTGGGCACACACCCCTGGTGTGAGTTTCAAGGCACTGGGTCCGAGACTTGAACAGTGGTTGGCCATGTGGGAGTCCAGCCAGTCCTGTTGGCTTGAGTCCCAGGTTTCTATTAAGCTACTTGGTGGGTGGAATTGAGTCTTCTTATTTACAAGTTGGTTAGCTAACGATGTATCGAATGGGCTCTTGATCTTGACTGCCTGGGCTTGAGTTCAGCCTACCTCACAGGGTTGATTAAAGAATTCAATGAGGTTACACTCATGTACTTTAGAATAGCTCCAGGCACGCAGAGAATTACTGTAACTACATCGCTACTATGACTGTGGTACTGCTTCTCCTCCTCCTCTGTCAAAGAGATGCCTGATCCGTATTAGGGGCTCAGTAAATGTTTGCTGAAGGAAGGAAGAAATGGTAGAGATTTAAAATGAATACATTTTTCACTGACCAATTGATTTATGAAATGAAAACTTTTGAAAGGCCCTTTTAGCATTTGAAGAAATGAGAGGGTGAGATTGGTGAGTTAGGGTTAGGATTTTTTCATATCTTTATACTTTTTTAAAAACAATTCTTTATTTAATTTTATTTGCTGTTATTATTTTTGCTGTAGGGCACATGTGCTCACCAGAGACAGAGTGAAATCGAGAGAGAGAGAG